TTAATGATGGCTATATTCCATGCTTGAAGCCACTTTGACCAGATTTCGATTAACCCGATCTCTTGGCTTTGAAAGAATCCAAAGGGTTTTGGAGACAGCAATCACGTTTAGATAAACGGACGTAGACGACGAATCATTTGGCTGTTTCAGAAACCTTGACAATTTTCAAGAAGATGCTTTGAAACATTTATTTTTAATACAGCAACAGCATCTTCCGCCAATCTTATGTGATTGCAACGCGATTTCCTATCAGTGCTAACCATTGTGGATATTTTTATGAATAATTTTGAATTAGGCAATTTAGATCACCGCCTTTTGAAACCTTCTTTCCAGTACAGGTATCTTGACGTCATCGCTGTACTTCTTAAAGTACAACAATTTTTTCTGCACTTCTTCATTACCAAGACGGAATTGAAGATGAGAAGAGGACAAATTTTACAAAATACCGCTGTTTCTTTTCTGGATAAAGATAAAGAAGGATTTTATGAGTAATTCATTATCTCTTTACATTTTCCGTAAGGAACATAGCCACAATCTCTTCAGGCACTCATGTTCTGCAGTTCTCTGTCAGTCTTCACTACACTATTTCTGTCATGAAGTCACGTGGAAAAGTAATCTAAACGTGCATCGGAATGTAAAGCCGAAATCCAAAATCTGTCATGCGTACTTAGAAGTAATGCCTACGATTACAGTTTTGGCAGAATCATTTCTTTCATTCAAGTTGCAACCGTCAACATAGCCAAAATACTTTATCATACAGATTTAATTAGCATTTATTTCTAACCCGCCGACTCAGTAAGATCGGATTCAATGTCCTGTGCAAAAGCTATTATCCTATAACTCGATATCTTATAAAAGTCGACCTGCTTAAAAATTGAGCTGTTTGCGAAATGAATTGTAAATAGTGCCAAAACATTAACTCTGACATGAAGAAATCACCCGTCAAAACTCGTCTGAGAAAACATGCAAGTTTTCGAGCATGATCATGAGAACATTTTGCTGTTGTGAAGATCTGCACAGTATTGATAGCAAAGACCGGAAGATCTTATCCTGAAACGACAGTACTACAGGCCTTATGAGAGTCAGATTCGCTTTCATTAAGCATTTAATGTAGCCTGTGTTAGCGATAAGATTCAAGATCTTTCATCTCGTTGGAATCGCATTCCAAACACATAAACTTTCACCATCCAATCTCCTCCATTTATTCAATATTTTAATTTTTCTCGCCTTTTTTCATAATTATTATTATTTATTTTATTTTTTAATTTCTTAAGCCCATCACTTTCTTTCACCTTGTTTCCTTACCTATCTTGTGTTTCCTTGTTACATGCTTTTACCATATACCCGTTTGATTTTTTATTGATTATCAATAAATCAATTTTACTTGCTTGAACCGCCACAGGTGCTTTCAGACCAAAAGGGTCCTA